ATAGCAGACCCCTATCCAAGCATGCAGCCCAGCAGGTCAGGAAAGGGGGGGGACAAGCGAGCAGTCCCCCCCTCCTGAACCATACCAGGCCACATGTCCTCAACATAGGGATGGTGCTTTGGAGCAGAGAACTTCCCCCCAAAGCACCTTGTCCCCATGTTGATGGGGACAAGGGCCTCTTCCCTGTAACCGTAGCCGGAGGTTGTGGAGGTCAGCAGGCAGGGGACTTATTGGAATCTGGAAGCCCCTTTAACAAGGGGGCTCCCAGATCCTGCCCCCCCATATGAATGAGTATGGGGCACATGGTACCGTAACTCATTCACCAAAAAAAGTGTAGTGTAAAAAATGACAGAAGACAGTCTTTGACAAATTCTTCGTTAAAAAAACAAAAATTTAAAAAAAAGTCCCCCAAAGTAGATACAACGTCAATCACGATGCCCGCTGTAACTACCAACCCGATAAAAAGAGAAAAAAATGCTCTCGACGCTGGCACTCGCCATCTGACAGCTGCATCGGCTTAACAATTCTTAAATATCTAAGGGGTGAGGACCAGCCAGTGATGCCACCTGAGTGACCTGCCCCCTTGTGACACCATCATGTGCTGTGATTGGCCAAAGCATTGCACCTGACCTGTGGTCAGATGCATTGCTTTGGCCAATCACAATGCATTGTCAATGCATAGTGCATTGTAAGGAGCAGCGGGCGAATAGCCTGCCAAATGCCCTTACCGCTTGTGTGTTTGCCGGACAAATGAATGGCTGATGTTCAACTCGAACATCAAGCCCAACTCTAGTTATAGCCAGGTAGGTACTAACTTCTTGCCCACATTCCATGTAGCGTAGGCATGAATACACTCATCTAAACAGCAGAAAGTGCAACTTGATTAATACTTCCTGGAATTATTTAAGCATCAGGAGTTACTTTCCATCATGGCTTCCAAGTTCCTGGGATATGAGATGACTTCTGGGTAGGAACTGAATTTGGGAGGAGTTGAAAATTCCATGCCAAAGCCACTATGCATCTGTATTCTAGATGCTATTAAAGTGGGCTCATCATTAAAAAATGCCCTTTGTGCTAATTAATAAGGTGCATGTCAATACCACCAGATACGACCTTTAACTGGTGTACAAAAGGTATCTTTTTTACCATGAAGAAAATAATGTTTCCTAGCTTTCAGCCTAGGCAGCTTAGCTCACATGGTCTCTGACTACCATCCAACATTGAAAGTATACTGTTTTTAATCAGCTGTGGAAAGATTAAAAGGTTTACCTCCATGCACACAGTTACTGACAGACCATACAAACAATATAAACAAGATTTGTAATATATTAGTATGCTTTGATAGGATTCTTCACATTAGGTTGATATTGTCTGCATACTCTATATATCTAAAAACCAATAAAAAGACTAACCCTCATTATTAACATTATCTACCGCCATGCCAAGCATATGGCTATCAGCCACATTCTTTCTGGCTGCTGGCCAGAGATTACAGTGTAGTGTGGCTCAGCTAGTATTGCTAAATTCACATTAGCATATTGTTGATGTTGTACTGTTGGACTGATTATAAATAGTTTCTTCTGTCTGTTTCTAGGTGCAGTATTAGTTTTAGATTTCTGCCTAGAAAATGTTGTCCCTAAAATGTTCCTGATGTTCAGTGATCATCCTTTCTACCATAAAATCCATTTTTTCCTCTTATCTCTACTGTGTATACTATGCTTTGGGAATCTCATTGTGCATTCTCTACAGGAAGCTTTGAAATGCATTTTGATAAGTAAGGTGCACACCATAACGTCTACTTTTCCATGCTACACTTTCACATTCCTACTAAATTAATATATAATTTTGTCAGAAACATCAGGAGTATGGACAATACCACTCATACATTAAACATTTCAATTTTGTGGATGCGTATGATACATTTCTATAGTAAAATAATTTCTTTTTTTATATATTTATTTCGAATGGCTTTATAACAATTTATTTTTGAGAATGTAGGCAGCACAAACTCAGCAGAGCTGTCTTAAAACAAAAGGCAACTGCAAGTTTAAATTTTTATCACAAATCCAAAAATAAGGGATGATTATTTTAGAATGGTGGTTGAGGACATGCAAAGTATTATTTTAGGTCCCTGTGACAAATTTTAAATCTAGAAGCCTTAGTTTATAGAACAGATGTGATCTATTTTGTAGTCTCCAAAAGATCAAAAAAAGAAAAACAAGAATTTCTGAGACAACTGATAATTTGCACATGGGATCTCTGGATATTTCTTAAAGTGGAGTTCCACCCAAAAGTGGAAGCTCCACTTGTTTGCCTCCTTCTCCCCTTCCACTGCCATTTCTGGCACTTTTACAGAGGGAGGGGGTGCAGATACTTGGTTTTGACAGGTACCTGCTCCCACTTCTGGCTCAGTTCACCATGGCGAAGTGAACCAGAAGTTCAGTCCCCCTCCCTCCTTCCGCAGTTTTCTGAGATACTTCACAGGGTCCAGAAGACATCCAAACCAATCAGGGTAAGCAGCGTGACTCGCACATGCGCTGTGGACACCCGGCTCTGAAGCCATAAGCTATCACAGCCTGGTGCCCACAGTCGAGATGCCGGCGCTGGGGAGAGAAGAGGCATAGAAGGAACAGCGCAGGTAAGCACATCGGGCCATATACATAAAAGGCCAGACAGGAGCAGTGCAGGAGTGGGTGGCTGTTTAAAAACAGTCTCCACATTCACTGCCTGTGCGAGCTACCTGGGAGCGCGCTGCACCGCAATCCGATCGCTGTACGGGACCTCTGTGTGATGTCCCTATCATGTGATTACTGATTGGCTAATCACTGATCACATGAATAGTAGTAAACAAGTTGTCACTTCCTGACATCATTACTACGTGTGAAATCTGTGAATGATCACAGAGATCACATGGTACAAGGCTATTCACAACAGCCTTGTACCATGTGACAAGCTGTGACCAATTACAGCTCTCACAGTATTTCTCAATGGCTGACAGAGAGAAGAAATTATTGCTTTTACAGCCTTTATTGGTGTAAAAGCAATCAGTGTCAAAAAAGAAAACAAAATCTTCATCACCCCCCACAAGTAGTACAGGGTCACTATGGTGACACTGCACTGCTAGGGTGGCGGTATGTAAAAAAAAAAACATAAATAAAAATGTAAAAACAAATGTTGAAAAAATTATAATTTTTGGTTATAAACTAATTTGTTTTTTTTTTAAATAAAAAGATAGATGAATATATTTTTGCCAAGATTTATGAAGAAAGATTATTTATATGCAAAATCTTATAAGAAAAACACCATTTTTTTTCAAAATGTTTGGATTTTTTCATTTAGATAGCAAAAAAATAAAAATCCCAGTGGTGAATAAATACCATCAAAATAACGTATCTGTCTCAAAAAATGCTAAATAATTCATATGGGTACAGTGCTGCATAACCGCGCAATTGTCCAGACTTGTTGTGGTTAAAAGTCAGCAGCTATGGTTTTTGTAGCTGCTGACTTTTAATAAACACAAAAATGACCAGAACTCAACTGTAATTTGTACACTGTTGTCTAAAATCAGATATTGTTTTTATGGATGTGAATGCAGACCAGTGTTTTCAGTGTGCCTGTATACATATGTGTGTAAACATGAGCTCCATATAGGTCAGTAAACAATCTGTATTACCAGTCAGTATTTTATGCTTGTATGTGTATATGTGCAAATGTACACAAAATGAATCGAATACATTTCAGCCCAAGAATACTGATGTTCAAACATCAGTACCATGTTCAAGTACCCTTATGAGAGCAATAAAGAAAAGGGATAGGCGAACCCAGTGGGGGAAACTTACTAGAATAAAGGAACACTCAGAATTTGGTGTAGCTGTGCATGGTAGTCAAGTAGCTTCCAATGTCAGCTTGTTCAATTAGGCCTGGTTCACACCTATACATGTTGCAATCTGCTGCAAGAAAGAGAGTCCCTGACTCTATTCAAAAACTCAGTGGCTCAAAAATGCATAGATGTGAATGTGTCCCATAGGATACCATATTAAATGGACTGTAGTGAGTGTCTGCAAAATGCAAAAAGCACTGAAAAAAGCAAAGAGGGAAAAGAGGAAGGATACTAAAGGAAAATAAAATAATCAGAAAACCAAAGAACAGTGAGAAAGTTCAGGGAATTAGAAGTAAACTACCAACGTAACCAAGTGTTCCAAAAATGTTCAGAGTAACCTTTCAGAAAAGAGGTGAGTTTGTACATTAATTTGTTGTTCCACTTAAACTTCATTTTCAGGAAAGGTTTCTTCCACGGAGCCAGGATGCAAAAACATACAATGTTAATAAGCGGAATAAGTAGCAAGTCTTGGCAAGTCTTCAGTATTTATGTGACTTTGACTGATTGCCTTGAGATCAATTATGTCTATCTCAGTTGGCTACTAAATTTGCTTGTGGTGGGTTGATTGATGCACAAAGATAGTGGTAAAAAATGATATCCTTGTGCTGTAAGCTACACAGTAATATTTACTGATAATAATCTTGTACAGTTGCAGCACAGTATGGTGAAAAGTGAATAACCCCTTCTCATTTGCAAGTTGTATGTAAACTTCCCTCAGATAGAGCAGTCAGGAATCAGTCAATGTGGTTCTCAATCAGGGGCGGACTGACCATTTGGAAACTCGGGTACTGCCCGATGGCCAGGGGTCAGTAGGGGGCCCCATGAGATGCCCCTGGTACCTTTTTCATAGGCTTTTTTGAGTTTGGGCAAGGACACGGGCCCCATGATCCCCTATTGCCCGGGGGGCCCCATGAGTTGTAGGTCCGCCCCTGTTCTCAATCATGTGATCACATAACATTGCATGCACATACCTCCCAACTTTCTGAATTGGATAAGAAGGTCATTTTTTACTACAATGTATATAGGTGAAGGACACACCTCTCTGACTTAACCTCATTATGTGGACCAAAAATAATTAAAAAATCAAAAAAGAAAAGAAGTAAAGTGGTTATACCCACAGGCAGGTGCGGACTGACCATTTGGAAACTCAGGCACTGCCCGAGGGCCCGGGGTCAGTAGGGGGCTCCATGAGATGCCCCTGGTACCTTTTTCATAGGCTTTTTTGAGTTTGGACAAGGACACAGGGGCCCCATGATCCCTTATTGCCTGGGGACCCCATCAGTTGTCAGTCCGCCCCTGCCCTCAGGTGATTTTTTATTTTTTACCACTTTTTTCCTTAATTTAGGTTTTCAAAATAACAAATGAAATCATTTAGATCAGGGTTTCTCACCCATAGTTTCTTGGAACCCTAGGGTTACTGCAAAGTTTGCTAGGGGATCCTTGAGCAATGAGCAGTTTCTGCCTCTCAGATACATTCCCAGGGACACCATTAATATTTTAAGCTATCTGTAAGAGGGTAATTCTTCTGAATGACCACAAGTGTAAGGAGCATTTTTCCATCCAGCATTCTAACCACCACACTAATGTATCATGATATATCATATATCATGATACAGTAGATATATATACAGCAGGGGGTCTCTTCCTAAGCAAAGGGCCAGTTCATTGTCCTTCAAACTTTAGGATGGCTGGCCTGTAACCAGCAGGACCAGAATATAGCGTGGTTGTCCAGTCCTGGGAGGGCGTCATATGACATCCTACCAGAATGCGCCCTCCCGCGTGCCCACCCAGCGATCTCCATGATCGCTGTGTCCTATGGACACAGCTGATCACATGATGTTGTAAAAAGCCAATCACAGCGGCCTTTTACCACGTGATCAGCTGTGTCCAATGACACAGCAGATCACCGGTAAATGCAGTTGCCGATTATTGGCTGCACTTTCCTCACGCTGTTACAGCGTGAGGAAAGTACTGCTGATAACCGGTAATTGTCAGAGCACGGATCGGCACCAATAATCAGTGCCCAGCAGTGTCACCCACCTGTGCCTAGTAGTGCTGCCCACAAGTGCCCAGCAGTGCCACCCACCTGTACCCAGCAGTGTCACCCACCTGTGGCTATCAGTACCCAGCAGTGCCATCCACCTGTGCCCAGCAGTGCCAGCCACCAGTGCCCAGCAGTGCCCCCATTAGTGCTGCCCAGCAGTGCCACCCATCAGTTCCCAGCAGTGCCGCCAGTCAGTGCCCAGCAGTGCTGCCAGTCAGTGCCACCCATCAGTGCCCATCAGTGCTGCCCATCAGTTTTGCCTATCAGTGCCCATCATTGTTGCCTATCAGTGCAGCATCATCAGTGCTGCCTCATCAGTGCCAGCTCACCAATGCCTCCTATCAGTGCTGCCTATTAGTGCCCATCAGTGCTGTCTATCTGTGCCAACTCATCACTGCCGTCTATCAGTGCCCATCAGTGCTGCCTATCAGTGCCCATCACTGCAGCCTCATTGACGCACATCAGTGAAGGAGAAAAATTACCTGTTTGCAAAATTGTATAATAGAAACAAAGAAAAACTTTTTTTTTCAAACTTTTTGGCTCTTTTTTTGTTTATAGCACAAAAATTTAAACACCCAGCGGCGATTAAATACCACTAAAAGAAAGCTCTATTTGCATGAAAAAAATTATAAAAATTTCATATGGGTACAGTGTTGCATGCAAAATAGACTAAAAAAAGAGGGACAACTCAGGAGATGAGAGACAGCGAGATTTGGCTCAAAAAGAGTGACAGCCCATTTGAGAGGATGACAGCCAGGCAATTAGCATTTGTCAGAAGGAGAGATCTTCAATGACAGAGTTCATTTTCTCTCATTCTATATTTTCTTAAAATTTTAGACAATATATATATATATATATATATATATATATATATATACTCTAGATCTACTTCAGCTTTCCTCTTTTCATTGCTCACCATCTTCCTTTATTTTCTTTTATTGTCATTAAACTTATAAACAATTATAAAAATGTATACAACAAACATCTGCCTTTTTCAAGTATAATGCTTACTAATAGCCATGGATGAAATAATTGTAAACAGCATTTTTTTTTCTGATCAACCTTTCAAATTGGACATTTGGGAAATGCATTCGATCCTGTTTTATATTGTTCTCTATGTGGTTGTTTACTGGGAATTTAATCACTGTATTGGGGCACCTGTTATTTGTATTAATGGTTCCTGTGAGGCAGGCGGGAGGGTTAATCAATGAGATCAGTAAGATGCATTTACATTCATTTTTTACATTGGAAAGCATTTCACTGAATATATGCTGAGTTAGAAAGAGGCTTTGCATTCTATTTATTAATCATAGTTAAATAATCCTTGAAAATTCCAATAAATTAACAAGCAAAATTTGTTACAGCAAGATTTTACCAGTGGGAATTGTTACTATTGATTGCTTACATTATTCCTTTTACATTTGGTATTATATATGCAGTAATAAAACAAAATCCAATTATATGCCAGATATGGCAACATCAAGAGTGCCCGTCAAGGTGGAAGAAGCTTTCAGCACTAAAGTACATACTGAGGCAGATTCAAAAAGAATGGGATAAAGGCTCAATGTACACGGGACACTCCTGAACGATGGAAACAGACTGCTGGAAAATGTAGATTAAAAAACGTCTGTTTAGCCGCGTTTGTATACCGCGTTTATGAGCGTTTGTGTTTAGAAGCATTTTTTTAAGATGACCTCAGGAGACATTCTAAAATGCCCAGAAAGCACTGAAAAACAGTAAAGAATTAACTGTTTCAGACATTTTCGAGAGAAATAGAGAGAGCAGAAGCAGAGAGAGCAGTATTTGTTGAGATTAGCTGTCTTTTTTTTTTGTGGCGTTTGGATGTGTTCCAGCTCATTTCTGTGCAGAAATGATTGCAGCAGTGTCTAACATTTTCTTTTCATGCAAAACCTCAACGTATGGTGTACCAGGTCCATTTGAGTACTGGGAAAACGCTTTGCATGCATTTTTCATCATGAAAAAAGGCTCTGGACAGCATCTGGAAATGGAAGAGTTAAAAAACATTTTCAAACGAAAACGCCTCTTTAAACGCGGTTAGCCGCGTTTACACTCGTTTACAAGCGAAATGCTGATACAATCTACTGCTAAACACAAGTTTACTGCATTAAAAAAAAAAAAGACTGTAAACTCTACTGCCTGTAAACGACTGTAAACAATGATGTGTATATGGACACATAGGAAAACATTAGGGAGAGTTCAGGGGCTGCTGAAAAAAAAACACAAAGAAGCTCCTAAACGTGAGTTTATCAGCTGCAGTGTACATGAGCCCAAAAGTGGAGCTGACAACAACCAACCAGGTTCACGAAACATGGGCATGCCAGAAATTTTTGTTTTGTTTCATTTTGGATGCATTCGTTCATTGAAGAATTTCATTTAATGGTATTTGTTATTTTGACCGGAGTCGTTTTCCAAATTAATTTTGTATCTTCAGCAATCGTTTCGTATATTCCTTGGTCTGGGTGGATTTGAAAATACTTGCTGTTTTTCTGGAAAGATTGCTATATATTTGATATATTATTGAATCAGACGTATTCAATATTTACAGACACTAGTCCAACCCACTAAGAGAAATGGCTTAAACTGATTGGACAATATTGACTGACGCCATGTGCTTCCGAATTAAAGAATGCAACGAAATTCTGATCCATTTGTTTTCTGAATCCAAATGATCAAACTAATTTGAAAATTGAATTTATTTCCCCATGGGCCCAAACTACTAATGCATCTTGTGACACCGTCCGATTAAAACAAATGCATTCGCAACAATGAAATTAATTTTGTTAAAACCTTTTTTGGACGTTTTGACATTACTATGTCCATTTGGAGATTTGTATCCATCCATTTGTAGACTTCCCTTTCAGATCTGTTATGAGACAAACCACATGACAGAGTTGCAATAGAAGCCAGGGAAGCTGCTCAGACATAGAGGTTTGTGTGGAATAGCAGGATACCACAACACACAATACCAGGGGCGGACTGACAACTCATGGGGCCCCCGGGCAATAGGGAATCATGGGGCCCCTGTGTCCTTGCCCAAACTCAAAAAAGCCTATGAAAAAGGTACCAGGGGAAACTCATGGGGCCCCCTACTGACCCCGGGCCCTCAGGCAGTGCCCGAGTTTCCAAATGGTCAGTCCGCCCCTGCACAATACGCACTAGTATGTTGGGGTGCCATTCTTTTTCAATGGCACCACAACACAATGAAATGACACCTGTGAAGCAGAACACATCAGCACAGGTAATGCACAACTGTGCATTGGGGTGCACTAAGTCACAAAAAGTATTGCAGGTTTGATTTTTAGTTGGTTGTGTTGCGTTGTCAGCCGATTCAAATGAATGGGCTACCTTAAGGCAAAGAAAATGTAACATCTTAATGTAGCAGTAAAAACCATGTGACACCTATTTTCAATCTTTTGGGTATTTAAAGCACACTCTCTGTGTGTTAAATGATTATTGGGAGAGAAACCATCCATACATGACTGTTTCTGCTCAGTCACTTGGGCTCAATTAGATAGCTATACAGATCTGCAGTATATGTAACATTTAACCTGCTAGACTCCAGGGACAGCTGCACTGAAGTAATTGTCCATTTGTCAGTGCTAATTCTGCCATGTCACAATAAGCTGAATATTGGGTAGCAAATGCCATATACTTCTTGTCTGTTACTGTAAAAAAGCAGGAGACTCATAGACTTATATAATAGCGGAGCCTAACTGCAAGTGGAAAATCAAATCTAATTAACTGATGCTCTTCCTGAGCAGAATGGCTTTGGGAACAATGTATATGTTATAATGAAATATAAAAAGTGCAAATCAGACACCTACAGGTCTTCTGGCCAACTACAGGTCCTCTTAGAACCAAGTTGACAAGGGTGATTGTACAGATTGGTTTGTGCATATAGTTTTCTGCAGTGCTGCATTCTGAAGACATCTATTGAAGTGACTCAAGCCTTCCCTGTCTGTTACTGCTGACAAAACCTTTATATTGAACAGTTAGGGCCAGGGGTGGACTGACCATGTGGAAACTCGGGCACTGCCCGAGGGCCCGGGGTCAGTACGGGGGCCCATGAGATGCCCCTGGTACCTTTTTCATAGGCTTTTTTGAGTTTGGGCAAGGACACAGGGGCGCCATGATCCCCTATTGCCCGGGGCCCCATGAGTTCTCAGTCCGTCCCTGGTTAGGGCTCATGCACACTGTAGCTCCTAAACTGATGC